GTTCATATGTGTATACACATGTGAATGAGCATACATAAGTGTGTTCATGGCCATACAGTGTGTGTGTGTGTTCATATGTGTATATACATGTGAATGAGCATACATAAGTGTGTTCATGGCCATACTGTGTGTGTTCATATGTGTATATACATGTGAATGAGCATATATAAGTGTGTTCATGGCCATACAGTATGTGTGTTCATATGTGTATACACATGTGAATGAGCATACATAAGTGTGTTCATGGCTATACAGTGTGTGTGTTCATATGTGTATACACATGTGAATGAGCATACATAAGTGTGTTCATGTCTATACTGGGGGTGCTAAAAGTTGCCATCAGGTGTACTCTATCATTCTCCACCTTAGTTTTTACACCAGATCTCTTAATAAAACTGGAGTTCACAGATTTACTATACTTGCTGGCCAGCGAGCCTCAGTGACCCTCCCTTCTGAAGTTCTGCAGCACTAGGATTACAATAGCACTCAGCTTTTACGTGGGTGCTGGGGATGGGACTCGGGTCTTACTTAAGTTAAGAAGAGAAAGAAAGTATTGAAAAAAATAACAAAATTGTACAAGATTGTTATGATAACTTTAGAATCCTATAGGAAGTCACAAAAGATATAGACAAAAGATATACTAAGTTCTTTGACTCAAAATAACGTTATGAAAATAGGTACTAATATTTTCTCAATTTATAAGTCTAGAATGATTTTCATACCTTCTCAATTTATAAGTATAGTATGACTTTCTAACAAATATCATTGCTTTGTTTTTTTTAATTAAGGAAAATTTGAATTAATATGTACATATAAAAACCCAAAACAGCTAAGAAAAGTTGCTAAATAAAATAACAAGGGAGAATTGGTTTTACCAGATGTAGGAACATGTTATAAAGCCTATTAATTACAATAAATTAATTTTAGTGCATGAATAAATAAGCTAATCAACGAAATCAAATGAAAATGACAAGAACTAATCCAAATGCAAGAATCAGTCTGTGAATGAAAGCTGTATCTCAAATCAGAGTGGCAAACCATTTGGAAGTATGATCAGACAGGTGGATGATCTTCCAGGGAGAAGAGTCAGTCTTGGGTCTGTCCTTTCCAGTCATCCTAAGATGGTTAGCAAGGATTTGTCCATGAAGTCATAAAAGTCCCCCCAAAAATACATGGACATGACTTATTTACCTTGGAGTGGGAAGGGAGTATCCAGTTCACACTTAAATACAGAAACCACCAAAGATCAGTGAATATAGCCACATGTTTACATAAAAACACCCATAACCAAAAACAGAGAAAAATGCATTTGCAGTTTTAGTGCTGATGGAGGGATATTGAACAGAAAAAAAATAAATAGAAAATGGCAAAATAAGAAGGTTTTTTTTAAACTAAAATGGTTCTAAAAGCAAATAAAAGGAAGTAAAAGTCTCTAGCTTCCTTAAGACACAATTTTCATTAACGAGACTTCAAAAAGCTTTAGAAATTAATCGTGTTGGTGACATTTAGAATAAATGACACTATTTGGGGGGAGTAGTTGAAATTTGTATCAATTTCATTATGGCATGCCTGGTAATTTCATCCTGTTAATACTTACTATAATTTCTGATATATTTTATGCCTACTTATTTTACTTTTTCTTTTAATATAGTAAAATATCTCATTTTAGAAATTATTGAGACTGAATTACCAAGTGTTAATCAAAGATTATATGCATAATGGGCAGATTTTTTTATCTGACAAGATTTCTGATTATTATAGTTTAATTAAGTTGTGAGAGAAGAGATTGATATATCAAAGCAAAGCCTAGTTTTTTGAAATAAATTAATCTTATAAAACAAAATGCTGTTCTGTAGTGTTCCAGTTTCTGGTTTTGCTGACCTAATCTTTCCTCTCTTCTGACTTAGCAAGCTAGATAAACAATATATTTTCATTGAGTGCTTATATTTTTAGTAAAAGAAAAAATGTTTTACTTCTGTGTCATTCTGTCAAGGTGGTGGAGACATATGTGTGACTTGTGTATAACATTGCTGGGACCTCTATTGATTAAAAGGCTTGCAAGCTTCTATAAAAGAACAGGGAACAGGGCTGGAATGATGGCTCCGTTGGTAAGCCCCAGTCCCCACATAAAAAGTCTGGTGTGATAGCATCCTTTGGACATCCCCATGCTGAGGAGATAGAGAGGCAAATCTCTCTATCAGATCAGTGATCCCCAGGTTCAGTAGGAGACCCTGCCTCAAAATGGAAGATGGCGAATGATTAAGGAACACACCTGATGTAAACCTCTCCACAGGCACTTGATGCACACTCACATGTGCACTTACCACACAGACACACTTACACTACACATGCATAAGTAAATTTTTAAAAAAGGTAGTAAGCAAGCATGGGAGAAGGCATGTACATAAAAAATAAATTTAAAAAAAATCTTGGATTTGGTTGGGGGGATTGCTTAGTCAGTAAAATGCCTACCATGCAAGCAGGCAGTCCTGAGACTGGATCCCCAGAATGCAGTCTACTCTTATTATCACAGCCGTAAGGCTCACTGGCCAGCTAACCTAGCTGAACTGGTCAGTTTCAGATTCACCAAAACATGCTGTCTTAAAAAGAAAGAAAGGAAGGAAGGGAGGGAGGGAGGGAGGGAGGGAGGAGAGAGAGAGAGAGAGAGAGAGAGAGAGAGAGAGAGAGAGAGAGAGATAGAAAAGAAAAAAAAGAAAGAAAGAAAAAGGAAAACTTAAAGGGAGAAAGCAGGGAAGGAGAGACACCTGACCTGACATTGATTTCCAATTAGAGGCAGCATGTACCCATGTGCACCCGCATTAATGAGTCACTCACGCACTTGCATGCGCGCGCGCGCGCGCACACACACACACACACACACACACACACACACACACACACACACCCTACCGTTTGGATGGATAAGATCAAACTCATGCTATTATGCGAGTTTCCATACTGGTGTCTTCATGTAAAAAGGTAATATGTTACTACTGTTAACATGCATCCAGTGCAGGATTGAGAATGACCTTTTTCATATAAGTTTATTTCATAGCATGCTAGAGTAGAAAAGGCTTGGGTTTGAATGCTAGGAAAAATAATTTAAGTTACACTTTGCACCTGGCTTGTGATAATAGGCAAATCATATACTTTCTCTAACTTTTGTGTAAAAATTAGATGAATATTGTTTGCCTTGTGAGGCTCCTGGAAGAGAAAACCTCCAGTGGCCCCCCAGGCTCTATTGCTGTTCGGTGATGGCTCCGGACTCTGGGATAGGCCTGCTTCCTCCATACTTCCTCAGTGCCCTTGTGTCCACCTCTGTCAGCACACTCACCTTCTGGCATCTGTTTCTCTGAGGCTAGCTTCTACTTCTTGTTCATCTGTAACCGAGTAATGCACTGCTCAGCATGTTTAGGTGAGTGAAATAATTTGGGACACTTACATTTTAACATTTTGAAATAGAATTTCTTTTAAAATGCCAGTTTTGGCATTATGTGAAATCCAGTAGAGATCGGGATGTGTTCCAGGGAGACTTGAGGACCTATGGCCTATGAGGACAAACCACCACTAGATGGGGATCTTAGTCACTCTAGTAACCAGTAGACAGACACTGGGATTTTCTTTTCCTTTCTTTCCTCCTTCCTTCCTTCCTCCCTTCCTTTTTCATATTGCCCTTTGGGCTAGGTGTTGCTATTTCTACATGAGATGATGCCAAAAGACTAGTTGACTTCTGGCAATATTGTAATTTGCACTTGATTCTTCAACTTACATCTATTACATTTCCTGTGATATAAGATAAAATAAATGCATCTGAAATAGTTCATATAATCTTTGTCACATGGTGTCGATAACAGTAGCTATTCTTACTTTATATCTGAACACCCTTTCTTGAGGGCTGTGACTGTCCTGTGCTGCATTATTAAAGCAATTGAAAAGTCCGTGCAAACACTCTTAGACTTGAACTCTATGGCAACAGTGGCTCCAGACTCTGAGTCAGTATTAATCAGAGCTCTTCCTTCAAGTCATCATCTTCCTTTCCTTAGGGGTAGTACTGAGTGACTTTCTTGCCACTGGAGTTTTGCTGATGACAGTGCAGTGTCTTGGTGGCATCATTTCTCTGGCCACTCATGATCTGAGTGCCTCCAGTGTCCCACTTGCTACTGTAGGTGCTGGGAAGTCAAGCTATGTTGTTAACGCCCAGGGAGTATAACTCTTTGCCAAGCTTCCTAAAGATTGGTTGTTGGTTCTTTGTCCAAGGCCCTTTCGGTTTGTATAAAGAAGAGGTTTTTATTTCTCCTGTGTACAGTGGTTGGGGGAAAGGTAGGAGAAAGCCCCTGGTTTTAGTTCTCTGACTCTGTAATTGATTTACAGCAAACGTAAGATAAAGGGAACAGTTTGGTAAGTTTCTACTACATGTGTACACTGGTGGAAACATCACTGCTATCATGGGGCCTGTTGTATCAATGAAGCTGAGACTTAGTAGAGCCTGGAAGCATCACTAGGATGCTCCATGAGTAATGAATGCCAAGATCTCTTCTGTAGGCTCCAAAGCCCAAGTTCTACTGAGGAAGCAAGCACTATGTATGCATCGGTGTGGAAAGCACAATGCCTCTGAATCTCCTCACTCAGTACTTTAGTTAAGAGGATTGTACAGAATGGTCCAGATGTGGTTTTCAACCCTCAAGTATTGACTGTATTCAATCAATTATGCCATGTCACAGATTAAAAATTTTTAAGCAAAACCTGCCTTTTGGTTAAATTGACACTTTGACCTTAGAATGGATCTTCTCTCCCTCCCAGGAGTACACTTGTGTGAGAGCTAAAGAATTACATGTAGTATGCATTCATGGTGTTGAAGGGAAGTTCCTCAGCTTCATTCATATTTCTCACTCACAGGTAGCAACTCTGCTTGAATGTAGTTTGTTTTAATTAAGCAACTCTGTATTATTCTCTGCAGAGTTATATAAGACATTAAAACCATGTCTTTTTCTTTTTCATAGGAAAGTGTTTAAGAAGCATGTGAAATGAAGTAATATGAGCTGGAGTCATATAGAATCTGCAAGAAGACCCTTGGGGGGAATTGGTGAGATAGGAATTTCTGTTTTCTTCAAGTATATTGTATAATTATTTTCCTGACTGTGAGCTCCATAGCCTTGTGCTCACAAGAGACACTTTCCAGTCTTTTGCATTTTTAAGTTTATCACTCATAGAAGTTGTAATCACTGCTGAAAACATCACTGTATTCATCACCTGTACTAAAGAGAATGGATTTAATATGTTCACAGTGATGTAGGGATAGGTCCATCTATCTGTAGAGAGATCTGTCTTGATGCTTCAGATGTTACCATTAATGACTAAAATGTCATAGCCCATGATAAATACATGAATAGAAATCTGGGGCATATGTTGTCTCTTGCCAAGTGTACATAATGTCTTTATGTGACATTGGAACAACATTGGAATGTTCTAAGACTTGAAAAATTACTTTCTGTTATTCCAGTCTGAAAAAAGAAGACTATTTAGACTCCTCAAGTTCTTCATTTACACAGCTGTTAAATCCAAGGCAACTGTGGTGAAAGCATGCATAAATATACATCTGCTGCAGCATCGTCCAGCCTACTTGAAAAGTAAGTTTTCAATGTACTTTAATAGGTTTTGAAATGGGTACACTATTAGGTTTGGTTTTGTTTTGTAGCTTTGTGGCGTAGGCAAGCAATACTGAGTAATGAGTAGAGTAACACGTAGTATTACTGGGGCTTTGGTGTGTTGTAGTGAGCCTCCCATCCCCGTGATCATAACACCTGAGATAATCAACTCTGAAACCTGAAAGGCTCTTGTCTTAGTTTTTGGTATGTGTTCGCTTCTTTTCTCTGAGCCTGTGGAGACACAGCAACACCATATATCTGCTGGTCTCTTCACTACATAGTGGCCAAGAGGCAGATCTCAGCGTCACTTGCAGGGCCATTCCCCCAGTGACCTAGTACCCTGGAAATAGGCCCGGCCTCTTGAAGGTACCACCAGTAACTTCTCAATAGCACTCCAAGCCTTTTAACGCAGAGGCCTTTGGGGGACACCTCCAAACCATAGTAAAATGTAAGTCAACACACGGAGTAAATCCTGCATTCTCTTTAAAATTCCTTGTACGGATTGTGGGTGTTTGTTTTTTTGTTTTTGTTCTTTAATCTGGTTTGACACTTTTGAATTTATATAAGATTCGATTTTGCTGATTAACCATCCCCAAATGTCTTAAAACAATAAGCATTTCTTTTTTCCTTATAGTTCTATGGGCTGGCGAGAGATTCTGGTGGGCAATAGATGGCATGCCAGTGTCCAACACCTCAGCTCCAAGGCTGGGTGGCTGAATTCACTTCCTTTCATCTAATCTTTTACCCTTCAGGAGACTAACTTGGGCCTTGACAAACACTGGCAGAATGGTTCCTAGCAGGCAGTATAAGTGCTTTACAAACATCCATCTTCCTCACATTTGATTTTGCTGATGTCCTGTGGACCAAAGTAATCCAATAGGCAAGGCCAGATTCAAGTAGTAAAGATAACAATGACCTGTAGAAAGGTCCCTTACGAAGTAGCATGTGGACAGCAACCAAAGAAACTGGTAAATATTTTGTAAACATATAACATATATTTTACAAGGTTCAAGCAGGAAGGTCTCCTCTAATCCTTGTCCTTTCCTGTACCCTCAGTCTTCCTATAGATAATCCTTGTTATTTTTAATTCCTTTTGGTTCTCCTTTTTGCATAAGCAAATATATACACATGTAGATATACAGAAATATATAGAGACATATGTATATATGTATGTACGTATATATTCCACTCTCTAGAATAGTCTAAAGTATGTGTGTGCATGTCTGTGTAAATAACTAGAACAAAGGATTATATAAATATTAAATGTATTAGCATTTTATGTTTATACCTCTTAACATGAGTTTCAGTAAGTGATGTGGAAGCATGAAGCCTGGCTTTGTTTTTAACTTTGCTTAAGTTTTGTTTGACCAACATGATCAGAAATAGAACTTGATGACATACCTTTCGTAGAATTCTTCTGACAGTCTTTTTTTGGTGGCATTTCTCATGTGTGGCAGAAATTACAGCTGAAGCAAGTGCTTTGTAATAATAAAATCCTCTTCCTAAATTAAAAGGCTAACTTTTTTGAGATCCACTTGGAAGTAAAGTTATTTTGCCGTAAGTACCTACAAACATGAAGTTGTTTGCCTGATACATTAAAACGTTTGGTTTTAGAGCCAATCTTATAAACAGCTAAAAAAAAAACAAAACAAAAAAACAAAAAACAAATCCCAGGCCCTTTTTTAGTTAATCCCTGAATTTACTTAAACAGCGTTTAAAAACTGCTTTTCTTGTATTCCTAAGAAATAGACATACTGCTGTCACTAATTGTTTCATGTTTTATGTGAAGATTTAAAATACTGAAAAAAATCATTTGACTTCTTTTCTGTGATACTCTTCAAATGTCATTGCTAGTAGGCATAAACTGTTTTGGGTTATATAGATCTGACAATTTGATCTAACAAATAGCTGAAAGAAAACTCTATGTAGAGATCTCTAGCCTAACCTGTGAGTGCTAACATATTTTATCCTAGGGATCCTGCCTTTCGAGTGATTACAGTTACTAAGGAAACAGGCCTAGGTTTAAAGATCCTAGGCGGAATTAACAGAAATGAAGGACCGTTGGTATATATTCAGGAAGTTATTCCTGGAGGCGACTGTTACAAGGTAAACATAAAACAATCAGTGACGACAAAAACTCACCAGTGGTAAGATTTGTCTTCTTCCTTTAGTAATTTTTTTTTATATGAGTTGATTATCCTCAATGAAAGACACAAGCGGGACCATTACCTTCAAAGACTTTTGCCCTAACATATAAATAAATTCTCCAAGTATGCCAATAATAAATATGTCAGACTCTAACTAAAGGTTGTTTAGTTACATGCTGTTCAAATCATCTCCAAAGCAGAGTCCAGAGAACTTATATCTGAAATCATGTTGCCTGTGTGCCTGCTAAGTTTGGATCACATTGGTCACCTGACCTTGAACTGCATCTCTTTGGCTTCCTAAATACAAAAGGAAGAGAAAGCAGCAAACTGAACAGTCTCATATCCTGATTTGCACTAATTCTTCTCATTGACTCACTGGTTGACCTTGTCATTTGTCCACAAGAGGCTGCATTCAGCATCTGCATGAGAAACTAGGTCTAGAATTAAGAGCAGACACTGTCCAGCCTTTTTTTCTTGATCTCATCCTTCATATACAAAGTGTGTGATAGAGCACCCATTTCTCTGTCTGGTGGCTAAGAAACTCAGGGCCAAATTTTAAACAAAACTCCAGCAACTTCATTAAAAAAACTCGCTCTGCTATTGGCATGGTCACCCCTTTGAGGTTTTATTTATGTCAACCTAGATATCTTGATAAAGGATCTTCCAAGTTTCTTCTTAGAATTATTCTTTGGGGGCTTCGTTAAATAATTCCACCTTGCCCTTCTCCCACTGCAGACACTTACAGAGCAAGCAGTTTGTCTTTTCAATTGGATTTTATTTCCTCATGAAGAAAAATAGGTTTCACCAAAATCATTGTCATAGTTGAGCTGTTTCAGGTTTGTTTATTTCACAAGGCATCTGTACCGGCTCATTTTATGTCAGCTTGACACAAGCAACTGTAATAGTCTGAGAGGGGAAAAACTCAATTGAGAAATTGCCTCCATAGATCAGGATATAGGAAAGCTAGGGCATTTTCTTAATTAGTGATTGATATATAAAAGTGCCTGCCATCATGGGTGGGGACACCCTTGGATTGGTGGTTCTAAGTGCTGTAAGAAAGCAGGCTGAGCAAGCCATAAGGAGCAAGCCAGGTTAGCAAGCCCCCTCCATGGCCTCTGCATCAGTTTCTGCCTCCACGTTCCAGCTCTGCTTGAGTTCCTGACCTGACTGTGGTGGACTGTTGTCTGGAAGTGTAAGTAAAATAAATACTTTCCTTTCCTGCCCAGGTTGCTGTTGGCTGTGATATTTCATCACAACAGTAGAAATACTAAGCGTCTTTCCAATATACTTTCTAAGTTCTAAGTTATTCCAGTTTAAGGTATTATAATGATGTAAAATTGTAGCTATTCAAATTAAATTATTAGCCAAATAACATAGTTCAATGTTAAACAAATTTAAGCCCCCCCCCATGATCTTTTTGGTAAGAATAAAGAAATTTACTCTCACTTCAGTTTTAAAGCTTAGAGATATGGATGGGTCGAATGGGAGACTGGAGGCATTCAGTATAGTTTAAGTTGCTTGCTTGCTTACCTGTTTGAGACAGAGACTTTAATTGTTTTAGACCTGGCTGACCTGGAACTCACTACATAACCCACACTGGCCTCCACCTCATGCCAGTCCTCCTAATTCAACTTCTCAAATGTTCATATTAAAGGCCACCATGCCCTGCTAACTAAGATACTTTGGGCAGGTTGCAGTAAGAGTTCAAGATACCTGGTAAATAATACAAATTTGCTTTTAGAACAAGTAACAATTTATGCCCTTTTATTTCCATAAATATTTTAAATTAGACTAATAAATTGAACATAGAAATTTTAAATGGCTTTTTATCTGATGTAAACCGTAGCAGATTTAGAAATTATGCTCATAAGATATACCTTCTTTTTGGTTGAGGGTACTAAAAGACAAATCTTTTTTTTTTCATGTTTTTTTTATTTTTTATTTGATAATTTAATTTTACATATCCCCTGTCCTCCTTCCTCCCCCCCACTCCCCTCCCAGCCCACTCCCCATTCCCATCTCCTCCAGGGCAAGGACTCCCTTGGGGATTCAGCTCAGCATGGTAGATTCAGTAGAGGCAGGTCCAGTCCCCTCCTTCCTTCACCCAGGCTGAACAAAGTGTCCCTGCATAGGCCCCAGGCTCCAAACAGACAGCTCATGCACTAAGGACAGGTCCTGGTCCCACTGCCTGAGGGCCTCCCAAACAGTTCAAGCTAATCAACTGTCTCACTTATCCAGAGGGCCTGATCCAGTTGGGGGCTCCTCAGCTATTGGTTCATAGTTCATGTGTTTCCACTAGTTTGGCTATTTGTCCCTGTGCTTTTTCCAATCATGGTCTCAGCAGTTCTCACTCATACAATCTCTCCTCTTTCTCACCGATTGGACTCCCGGAGCTCCATCCCTAATCATCAGGGAAATGCAAATCAAAACAACTCTGAGATACCGCCTTACACCTGTCAGAATGGCTAAGATCAAAAACACTGAAGGCAGCTTATGCTGGAGAGGATGTGGAGCTAGGGGAACTCTCCTCCACTGTTGGTGGGAATGCAAGCTTGTACAGCAACTTTGGAAATCAATATGGCACTTTCTTATAAAATTGGGAATCAATCTCCCCCAAGACCCAGCTATACCACTCTTAGGCATATTCCCAAGGAATGCTCAATCATACCACAAGGGCACATGCTCAGCTATGTTCATAGCAGCATTATTTGTAATAGCCAGAACCTGGAAGCAACCTAGATGCCCTTCAACTGAAGAATGGATAAAGAAAATGTGGTACATATACACAATGGAGTACTACTCAGCAGAGAAAAACAATGACATCATGAGGTTTGCAGGCAAATGGATGGATCTAGAAAAAAATCATCCTGCGTGAGGTAACCCAGACTCAGAAAGACAAACATGGTATGTACTCACTCATAGGTGGATACTAGATGTAAAACAAAGGATGACTAGACTGCTACTCACAACTCCAGGGAGGCTACCTAGTAAAGAGGACCCTAAGAAAGACACAGGGATCGCCCAATGACAGAGAAATGGATGAGATCCACATGAGCAAACTGGACATGAGTGGGGGTAATGAAGGGCAAGGGTCAAGGGAAAGAGAGCGTAGGGGAGCGGGAGATCCCAGCTGGATCAAGAACTGAGAGAAAGAACAAAGAAAAAGAGACCATGATAAATGAAGACCCCATGGGAATAGGAAGAAGCAAAGTGCTAGAGAGGTCCCCAGAAATCCACAAAGATACCTCCACAATAGACTACTGGCAATGGTCGAGAGAAAGCCCGAACTGACCTACTCTGGTGATAGGATGGCCAAACACCCTAACTGTCCTGGTAGAACTCTTATCCAAAGACAAATCTTTCTAATGGGCAGTTTTCTTCATTTACCACTAGAGAGCAGCATGAAGTTATTAATGTTCTGGTCATGTGCAAAAGAAGAAAACCAATTAGAAAAAAAGTGTAGAAGAATAAGTAATTCTCCGTTCCTTACATTTATTTTTTAATACTACCATAAGATGGAATGCTATAGGCAAGTATAAAACAGATGCATATTTACTGTAAAGATTTTATTGATAATATGCTTCTAAGTAACCTAGATTCTGTTTTAAGTGAGCATCCTATCACTCTTGGTAGTCTTTATTTTTGAGACAAGGTCTCACTAAGTTGCCCAGACTGGCCTTGAACTCACTCAGGAGTCCAGGTAGAACTTGAGCCATCCTCTTCTCTCAGCTTTCTGAGTATCTGGTCTTACAGATTTGACCCACCAGATCTAATATAGTAATATAAAAAATGAATCTGTACAGAATTTGTGCATGATGGTTATATTCATAGAAACAAAGGCACATGCATGCATACACGTACCTATTTTTCTGTGTTTATCATATGTGTGCAGTACCTATGAATGCCAGGGCATCAGATCTTCTGTAGTGGAATTCTGTTAGCTCTAAGAGCTTTAGGCAGCCTGTATGCTGAGAACAAATGCACCAGGTTCTGGATAAGGAGATATGCAAATCTGAAAGCCCTTTTCATTCCCTTAGCCAGTCCCTTGCAGTCTAGAGTCTTCAGAGAATATTACTAAACCTGTTAACCTCAACACCCTCTTCATCTTCACAGTCAGCTTCCTAATTTCCTAATGAAAATCTACACTTAGCTCTCCTAGAGATATCTCAGAACTAACATTTCTAAGGCACAATGGCACAATCCATGATACTCACCTCACACCTTTTTTTCATTTCTTCCCAAATAAAGCCTCTTCTCAATCAGTTTTCAAAGCTATGTCCCAATCATTTCCTTCTTCCTGTATCATAGCAACTGTATTCCAATTCATCTTAGCACATACTGCTGACCTTTTTACTCTCTTGAGCCCATTAGTCATTCTCTCTCTCTCTCTCTCTCTCTCTCTCTCTCTCTCTGTGTGTGTGTGTGTGTGTGTGTGTGTGTGTGTGTCTGTCTGTCTGTCTGTCTGTCTGTCTGTCTGTGTGGTATGTATGCTGGTATAGGTACATGTATGTGTATATGAAAACGGAGATCAGAAGTCAACACCAGTGTCTTTATCTATCACTCTCTGCCTTAACTTTTGAGACAGAGTCTCTTATTGATCCTAGAACTGGTTGATTAAGCTAGACCAGCTGGCCAGTTGGCTCTGAGCATCCACCTCTCTCTTCCTTCCCAGCGCTGGAATTGCATGCATTTTTATGGGAGTCCTGGGGGTCTGTACTAGAGTTCTCCTGCTTGCATAGTAGGCAGTCTTTTGACTGAGCCATCTCTCTAAGCTCCGTCTTTCGTCTGTCACTGGTTTTTACTGGCACTCTCAGTAGCTTTATCTGCTCTTAATGCACCTGCCTATTTCCTCTCCCACCAAACTACCTTGACTAGTATTAGTAACCTAGAGGCCTCTGTGTAGACCCCTTTCACCTTCAGCTCTTTGCTTTCTCCATCTCTACACTTACAAGCTTGTATTCCCTGTTTCTGAAAGAGCCGATTCTTCCTTATCTCCATGTAGGTATATTGTTCTGTTAAGCCGGGAACAGCACCTCCTTCTCATTCTGCTCTTCCAGATATCAGTTTAAAGAACTTGGCAGAGGACTTGTTTCCTGTCCACCAGTGCAACTGCAGATGAGGCCAGGTTTTATTGTTCCCATGTGTGTGGCTAGCTCCTGTTCCCATGCTTCATATCACCTAGCTCAGTTTGTAATGGAACATCAAAGTCTCTGATTATTTTAACTAGGCTGAACCACTGGTCCCTTTGCCTCCTAATGGCAAGGAGGAGTCTGATTTCTTTACAGTCATTTCCTTAATGTGATTCACTCAGATATTAATGAATAAATGTTGCCATGATCATTCTGTCACATTCTGTTTGTTTACCATTCCACTGCTATCAACTTCACTCCTGACCAAGGTGTGTCTCCTTCTTGGCCCTGTGTATCAGATGATGGATAATATTTTGAAATTTTCAAGTGTTTTCTTTCATTTATAATAACATAAAGAAGAAAACTTCTGCAAATATGAAGAAACATTTTATTTAGCTGATCCTAAGATATGTTTAAAATGCATATATAAGCGCTATACATAATATGCATATATGTAGCTGTGCACTGTATCTGTTTGCCTTAAGGGTATATTTCCTCTCCTAGCTCTGAAATTGGAATGTTCCTCACAAACAATGCCATGTTGTACTTGGCAATATTCTTCCTTGCTACATAAAGAAATGGAATCTCTTGCAGCTATTATTGTCTAGATTTGATAAATTGAGGAATTCTTATCAAGCTTGTAAGTAAAGACAAAGATCCCATTGACATAGGTGCCCACAGTTAGTCATGGCTCACTTAGGGTGGAAGGCCATAATCACTTCCAGAGGTGGATTTGCTGAACTATGATCAAAGCATTTGGAAACCAGTCCCATCAGTGAACACTGAGGAAGCAGCAGCACTTTGCCACATCACTCTCTTCTTTGTTGTTATTGTTTCTATTGTTATATAACATGTTACCTTCCTCAGGCTAGTTCCTGGACCTCATTGATTTATTATTAGATGATTAGATTCCTTCGCACTGTGCTAGGGAACCAAACATGGTAGCATGATCTGGCCAACCAAAGGAATAAGTGTGACTCCTCTGAGAGTTAGCTCTATTAATATTAATATGTTCTAAGTTGGAAAAGGGTGGAAGTAAATGTAAGTAAGGATTGTCACTATAAAGTAAGAGCTATGACTCAAGTAAGTAAATGTGTATTTTGTTCAGGAAAGATAGTGTTTGAGCCTCCTGTGAGGTGAGAGGGAGATAGGAGTGCATGGTAGCATTCTTGATAAAAGTGGCCATGTGTGAAATCACTGAAATGTAAAGATGACAGCTGGTGTGAGGAACATTCTCTGAGAAGAGGATGAGGAATTTGTATGCTGGGATAGAAGGTGTGTGGTGAAGCTAGAAAAAGTAGTCTAGTTTCCAACAGGCTTGGAAAGTTAAGGATTTTCAAATTTTTTTTGAGCTGTGGGCTCTACTTCAAGAGCAGTGTAATTGAACTTCTCTTGAAGATGTACCATAATAATGAGACTGATTTGCCTTACTTTATTGTGTTTATTCACCTTACCAACAATGTGTTCTGCATGTATTCTTTGATTCTTATACTAAGCTCATACTATAGATACCAACTTTTTTGCTAGGAAAATGAATGGAGTCTCATAGACATTAAGTAACTTTCCTATGTTTACAGTAATAACTAGAGTTAAAAGAAGGCTACATCTAGTTTGTAGCTTGGGAAAGGAATCCAAAGACTCACAGAAGCAACACTTCCTTTCTGAATCATGAGTTAGTTCTGTCAGAATCGGGCTCAATAGATAATATAATAATATGTTACTTAAAACCTTCATAATATAATAATAATTGAAATGAACAGTGATGGCGGTTTACAGCAGAAGAACTTAAGTGGCCAGGAATACATTATTATTTTGACAAGTACATTGCTGTCAAGTTTGAGAGTGTTCAAACTGAAGTTCAGCGTTTAGACATGCCTGGCATTTTGCCTGCTATGTGGTGCAGCTGCTCCATAACCTATGAGTGGAAGTGGCCTCGGCATTTCCTCAAGTCATATCAGCACATATATTGCATATTAGTCCTTCTGGGGCAGAATTCACTCACTTAAGATACCAGACTTTTACAAAAATGGCTTTGTTTTCATTCACATGCCGTGACTTTTAAACAGATTCAGAAATTTGTATGATCAGCTAATATCTTATTCTAAGAGGCAAAGAAAAACACTAACAGCTACAAATACATGTTTAAAACTAAAAATATGTATACTCACTAGAAACCTGTGGCCAGAGGCCTTCTCTCCTCCTCCCAATACATTCTGCAAAAGGTTCCTTTAACACATACCGGTCATGGGAGCTGTACAGCTTGAGAAGAGAATGCAAGAGACTATAGGTCAGTCGAAGCCCTTTCGCCCATCTGGAGGTTTTTAGCCTTTTTCTCTGTATCCCGGCAGTGATTTTCTGTAACAGACATTAACAGATGTCTATAGTTTAGTTCCTGGTTCCTGGTGAAAGGATGTGCTCTCCCATCTCTTTTTCTCAGTGTTTGTGAAGATCTAGCCAGTAATGGCAGAGCTCACATTCAAATTCAGATCTATCTGCATGCTAGCCTCCATGCCAGTCCCTCTCATGTGGGAGGCTCCTGCTGGTGTGTTGACCTGCTTGATCACTGGATTATAGGTCTTGTGCAGACAGGCACAGCTGCCTGAGTTCACGGATGCAGTGGTCTCGTCATCTTCACTAGACACTGCTTCACTCCAGTTCTCTCTGACCTCTGATTCTTAGAATATTTCTGCCTCATCTTCAGCAATGTTCGTGAGCTGTCCAGGAGGGGGATGGTATAGATGTCCCATCTGTGGCTGAGCACTCTACTGACTCCGGTTAGATTTTAAGTCCAGTAACTTGAATTGTAGAGATTGTTTCAACACTATCAAAGTAAAGTGTTAGTCAGCCTTCTAGTGCTATACCATGCCCCTGAGTTAGTTAACTGACGGTCTGTTTGGAGTCACACTCTTCTATGTTTCAGTCCTTGGTTGATTGGCCCGTCGCTTTTGTCCTAAGACAACATATTCTGGCAGGATGTGACAGTGTGAAAATGCTCATCTAATGTCCAAGAAACAAAAGAGAGAAGAAGCCGCGGTCCCATAATCCTCTTTTTGGGATTGTCTCCAGTGCTTCCAATACCTCCCACTCATCCCAACTCTAAGAAATTTCACCTGCTTCCAGTAATGCCAAGCTGGGGACCAGGCTTCTAGCACACAGGTCTTTGGAGGATACTCAGAATTTAATCCTTTGTCTTTTCTGTAGTTCTGGAAATAATATTTTCTATGTTTGTAGTAGTGAGAAAAGAGAACTACCTTAGAATCTGTAAAAGAACAGAACTTTCCTTCTCAGTTGAATTAAGAGAAAACAAAACAAATGACTAAGATACTGGCCCAGCAACCACATCAATCTTGTAATTGGTAATACTGGGTCATATGTACTTGGGACAGTCATGCACAGGGCCAGCGCTTAACAAAGACAGCCAGTTAAATCAGCATGACATGGCTATGATGCTTTATGCACAGCCTAGTAGGCCTGGCCAAAGGAGGACTAGCAAATTTAATAAAGAGGATGCTTGATTATTAACTGAGATTTGGATAGGATCAATATAATAAGGTTTCTTAACCTCATTTAAAAAATCAGTGTGAGCCGGGCGGTGGTGGCGCACGCCTTTAATCCCAGCACTTGGGAGGCAGAGCCAGGCGGATCTCTGTGAGTTCGAGGCCAGCCTGGGCTACCAAGTGAGTTCCAGGATAGACTCAAAGCTACACAGAGAAACCCTGTCTCGAAAAACCAAAAAAAAAAAAAAAAAAAAAAAAAAATCAGTGTGCATATTTGTGCACGTGTGTACATTTTGTATGTCTGTGTGTGAACGTGTATGCATGTTTGTATTGTATGCGTATATGAATGTGTATGTGTGTGTGCATGTACATGTGCATGTATATTTATGTCTCTCTGTGTGTAGGTACATGCTGTGTGCCCGTGTATCTTCATGTATCCATTAACCAGAGGAAAGATGTAAGAATATTCATTCACTAAGGTAGATGAGTCTCCTATTCTGAAATATTCAGTGTGCAGTTAGTGTTTGGCTTGCTTGATCAGTCAGACTCTTATCAAGCTCATAGTACTGAGCTTTGAAAACGAGTGTCCTTTGCTGGCATACAGGCCTGTTGCCTACAGTAGGCAGGTTCATTAGCATGACAGTGTACTAATTACATGTATAAACTATATAATTTTACCTATGTATATTAGTTAACCAGGCACTATTTCAGCATTTTCTATGGAGATTCTCTAATTTTTTTACTCTGCTTATGACATTATTCATAAAAATTAATTACTTTTATTACGTTAATTTTATTAAAACTATTTTCTTTTTTTCATAATTTTCTTTTTGAACTTTTCTTTTTAGGATGGACGTTTGAAGCCAGGAGATCAACTCGTCTCAGTAAACAAGGAATCTATGATTGGTGTATCATTTGAAGAAGCAAAAAACATAATTACCAGAGCCAAATTGAGGTAACAATTTCATCCATATGATAGGATGAGTCATTTAGCATATATATGTAAATGTGGTGATTTAAGATATCTTAAAGGAAGGTTTTTATGCTACTAGAAACACTATCTTTGAATTTACTTGATTGCATTTGTTGTATGTCCTCAAAGTGATGTCTTTTCATCATAGGTCAGAATCTCTTTGGGAGATAGCATTCATCAGACAAAAATCTTACAGTGGCCATCTGGGAAATATTTGCTGTCCATCCTCATTAGAAGCTTCAGAAGACTGTGGACTTCAAACCTCAACATTTAATCCTCTTTCTCCTCCCCCTGAAACACTAATTCCAAAGACTTCATCCACTCCCAAGACTCAGGGCCCAATTTTACCTTCTTTTAAAGCAATTCAGGTAATCTTAAACTCCAGCTTCCTATCCAGTTCATAAATCCCTTATGTTTTTTTCTAATGTTGGTTAAGTCAGTATAGAATTGCAATTTCATTAATAATGCTTATTAATAAGTTAGTATTTCCTTGAAAGACTTTTTTCCTTTTTAGATTTTTAGGATGTATGCTATGGAATAATCCTTATGCACTGTAATGATTTGTTACTCAAATTGGTGTAATAAAATGCTGATTGGAGCCGGGCGGTGGTGGCGCACGCCTTTAATCCCAGCACTCGGGAGGCAGAGCCAGGCGGATCTCTGTGAGTTCGAGGCCAGCCTGGGCTACCTACCAAGTGAGTCCCAGGAAAGGCGCAAAGCTACTCAGAGAAACCCTGTCTCGAAAAACCAAAAAAAAATAAAAAATAAAAAAATGCTGATTGGCCAGTAGCCAGTCAGGAAGTATAGGTGGGGCGACCAAATTAAGGAGAATTCTGGGAAGGAGAAAGAGAGTGGAGTTGCCAACCAGACACAGAGGAAGCAAGATGAGAATGTCATACTGAGAAAGGTACCAAGCCACGAGCTAAACATAAATAAGAATTATGGGTTAATTTAAGTGTAAAAATTAGCTAGTAATAAGCCTGAGCTACTGGCCAAGCACATATAAGTAATATTAAGCCTCTGAATCAATTATTTGGGAAGTGGCCGCTGAGTATTTAGGAACTGGCAGTCAGGAGAGAAGCTTCCATATACAAAACATAGATTTTCAAGCTAATGTGTCCTTTCTTTAAAAACTTAATCAGAAAACATCAACATACAACCAGCCATGTTTAATTCTCTGCTTCTACCTATTGGAAGATCAGTACTGTGTGTGTGTGTGTGTGTGTGTGTTCAATCCTTAGTTTCTTCCCTATGCACTGAGACTAATCCTGACCATCCTATCTATAGAGAGTATTCCCCTCACCCTCGCATGTGTGTCCTGTGAAATAGTTCACCTTACTTATTTGATTCCCACAAAATGAGGAATTTCTATATCCAAATCAATTTAATTGCTTTCAGTCTGCTACATTGTCCTATTAAATCACAACTCTAAAGTAGACTCTATATTCTTCAAATTTGTGTTAGAAGTAAAATAAGACAAGAAACTTTTAGTCAATAGGATAAATTCCTTAAGGGTAAGTTCTGTTCAAGGTAGATGGTGATCGGAGGGACTGTTTTCTGTCATCCCTTAGACTGTGTCTTTTAAAAGGCAAGGGACATGGCCTTCTGTTCTGTTCTTCTTAGACACTGGAGAGCTGAAACTGTTATTACTTTCAACTCTGAACTGCCTTCTTTGAAGATGAATATACCAAAACATTAGGAGCTTTATTCTTTTTAGAATATTGCTTTGATGTCTTTAAACATTCTATTTATGTTAACATGAGCATCTAGTTTGGTCTTTGACCTACTTTAGAAAAGACACATCATCTCCCTCGTTTTCCTTCACAGACAAAACCTGGCTACAGTAAAACAGAACATACTCCAGTTACTTCTTTGGACATCAACCCTACAGATACATCTAATTCAGGTAAATTCACATTTAATTCCTGTCATTTTTTTCTTCAATTACTCTTTCTCAATGATGAATTCATAGTATGACTTTCAATAAGCCTTAAAGAAGAATATATTATTCTGTTTTTTCCTTCAGTGAATAAAAGAGCAAAATGAATATATTGCTTGGTGCTTTCTGTTAAATTTTGACTTTTGCCTGAAATTTAATTGAACATAGAGTTGAAATTTTAAGAAGTATATAATAATAATAAATTTTAAGAATTGTGTTATAATAAATGCCTGTGAAGTTGTAATAGTTAAATTGTTGTAATCAAGTAATGAAAGGCTTCTATAGTCAAGATGTGACTTATTGCCTCTTTACTGAAGTACTCATGAGATATACCACTGCACCTTTGAAAACACAATATAGATGAAACAGGACTGAAGAAAAATGGTTGTTTGTTTTAGAAGATATTGTATGAATATAAATTAGAAAGCACAGACATACTGACTTTGATACTGTTTTGAACTACCCTAAAATGACTTGGTGATTTTTTAAAAAATAAAATACAATCAAAAGTGTCTAAGCTACATATAGAAAAGGATTTTTATCAAACCATAAAGTTCTTATTGTCTCAAATATCAAGAAAAAATTCCTCCACTGAAATTAACCCTGAAAGTTAAAAAAGACAATTTAGAAACTGTATTTAATATAACTAAAAGGCTAACTAACACAATATGCTAAGTTATTATTGAAAGTGAAACTCACATGTATTAATTTTTAATGCCACTATTTTTGCTAAGAATTGCAAAATAAAGAGAACTAGTTTAGATTAAGTGCTACTAGGACATGGACAAACGGTATAGTTTAGTAGAAGAGTACATGCTTTCCAGGCGTGAAGCCCTGTATTCAGTCCGCAGCACCAAAAAGAAAAAAAGAAAGGAAAGCAAACAGCCACCATCAGTCTTCACGGCGATTTGTACTGTGTTCATCATATGTTTCCTCTGGTTGGGAGAAGTAGTTTCCAATGGGCTAGTAATTTTTAACCAAAATTATATACCTTTTAATTACTGAGCTTTAGTTATTCTTGCAAATACTATTAATTAGTATTCCTTTGACGTAATTAATGTTCAGTCTCTTGATAGACTGTTTTTATTTTAAACTGAGAATTCACATGGAAAGAAGATAGATGAATGAAGCAGGTAATCCAAGATGCAAGGTCAGTTGCTCCATGATGAAAGTCTGGGTCCTTTGTTCCTTGATTATATTGTAAAGCCTTAATTATGGAGCATGTGTGTAATAAATTTTCAATTTTTAGAGTAACCAAACTAATTAGTCCCTTTAGCCATTTGTTTAGTGTACATTTGCTAAATGCTACCTAGTTAGCAGTGAACACAGCACAGCGGGAATTCCAGAGAGATTTAGGATCTTTCTGTGAGTTACTTAATATTATTGTAAAATAAATGATGAGGTTAACATCCTCAATGATGAGATTAACATCCTCATTACTCAAATCAGAAAACATTGAAATAAATGTGTATCTCTCCATAGATTTGCATGTACATATAGATTTTCTGTTGTACACAAATAATGTAAAGATATCTACAAAGTAGACTAGGGAGAGCGTGAGTGAGAAGCTGCAGGAGATATTCAGTAGAAACAGCCAGTGATTTGCATGTTATACAGGAGAACACAGGAACAACCTGGGAAGTCTTAACCCTTGACCCTGGTTTCTTAGCTCCCTGACCCTGAACTGGTTGCCATATGGGAAAGTTACAGATTAAAGATCATGCATGTCAAGCACTTAGCATTGTGATTGGTACATGGTATATGCTCAGCACTATTTTTATTATTTATTATATTGCAGAAACGTAAGCTACTATATACTTCAGATAGCATTCCAAAGTAAGAACATGGTTTTAGAGCAGAAGTGAGGGCTTCTTGTGGGTGAGTCAATTTTATGTCTTCCCTTCAACCTCCAAAGCTGGGATACAGCATAGGACTCATCGTAGTATGCAAAACTTATTAAGAAACTTCAGTTTCCCCAAAATCAAACATTCCCTAAGTCTTAAGGGCAGCAGGCAGAAGACCATCCTAATTTAAGGAGGTGCCGAGAGCAGGAGCGCAGAGCCCAGATAGGTGAGATGCCGGAGACCCTGAGAGGCAGCTCTGATGAGAACACAGATCTGGCAATAGTAAGTAAAGTGAGAGTTGTACAATGACCATAAGAAACTATGCTCGATTTTGGAATAGGAAAGTAGTTATTGAGAAATATATTTGAGTAAGTCATTTATAAAATTAAAATATTAACATAGAATATTTTTCTAGGAATGAAATAGCATTAACTCAGATCCACATTTTTATTTCTACATAAATGCAGTAGGCGAGATTTACTGGATGGGGTTTTACACAGGACAGGGAGGAAGACCCTCAGAAGTGTTTCCACATAACTTACACATGGTATGGTAAGTCCATCAGCATAGATGTCCCATATCAGATCCTTAAGCATCACTATCTAGACTCCTTTAGTCAGTGGGTATTCATGTTAGTTACTCTTTAGTGGACCAAATACCCGACAAAGGCCTCTAAGAGATGACAAGATGACTTGGAATGATGGATCAGAGGGAATAGTCAGCATCATGGTGGGAAAGGCATGGCTAAGAAACTCCGTGACTGTGGGAGCATGCAGCAAAGCTTCCCACATGGTTACCCTATCAGGCTGCAGAGAAGGCTGAAAGCAGAAGTGAATGTAAACCATTAAAGGGACACACAGCCCTTCTGACTCTCCTCCACAAGCTAGGTCCCACATACCTAAGCTTCCCCTAACTTCTGTAACCTCCCCAAATAATCCTAACAGCTAAAGACCAAGTATTCAAATTATGAATTCACAGAGATATTTCACACTCAAACCATTGCAGTATTTTTTTAAATGTAAACAAGTTTTAATATTAACCTCAACAAAAATATATATAAGATGGCTCTTCTCTGTTTTCATCTCAGAGTTATTTGCAAGTGTAAAATTGGTTAGAATATTTAAGATCAGTATTATACATGAGTATAACTTGAGATTATCTGTCCATTATATAAATTAGTCTGAGAATTCAGAATTGTTTATTATGGCAGTAAGTTGAATAATAAGCAAGTTTGTGAGTGAACTGCAAATAAACGGAAGCTACTCCTAAGGGAGTAAGAAAGGGTGTGATTATGTTAGCAATGTGACAAGACTTCATTCCTTTACACTCAGTTCTTTAAAACTCAACCAGTGCCGATGGAGAAAAATGCCTTCTGAGGCTTTGTGTAAAATTTAAAAATTATTTTTACAGTGTTGATCATACTCTTGATCATATTCTTACACAGCATTTCCTTTCTTCTCATCCTAAAAAGAACAGAAATAGAAGATCCCCAGAGAGGAGCAAATGTGAGGTTGAGGTAGAGAGAGACAAAGAGACACAGAGAGAGAGAGAGACAGACAGACAGATATTTATGGCTTAAACCCTGAGCTGTCCACAGGCACTGATGTTGTGCCCTGCCTCTTCAAGAATGAACCTGCAGTCAGTGTGGAGAGGAAGGGAGGCAGAGGATAACGAGCTTTGTCAAGGCACAGTGCTTGCTAGTAAACCAAGGGCTGCATGGTTTTACAGCACTTCCCCTTTTCTCTTCACACAGTCTCTTTTTCAGTTTTTGTCGTTTCCATAACTTTACTGATTTTTGCCCTTATAGTCCTCTTCAAGTATCAGCTTGAGTCTTTGTACTTTGATGAAAATTTGATGATGAAAAATGTGGACTCATAGCAACACTGGTTTTTGGAGTCACTAGAGATTCAGACCATAGCATTGTGGCCTGGATGTGCAACCTGGGTCAAGTCTTTACCTTGTCAGGCCCTGGTTTGGGGGTGAGAATAACAACACCTATGCCATTGTGGTTATTATGAAGATTAATGAACTCAAGTCTAACTCATTCACTATCAGCCTAGAGGTAAAAATAGAGCTAACGTTATTTCCACCTTTTGCCATACCAGATTATTGCACTTAATCTGTAGGAAAACAGTAAACATGTGTGCCTTGGTGTATGTGGCTGTCATGTGTGTCCCCTTCTCTCTCCTCTGCCCATTGCTTTCATCTACTCAGTGACACTTTCACACACTTGAATTGAGTCATTCAAGCCCAGTTAGTTTTGGGCTGAACCACAGATAGGTTAGCTAGAGTTCACCTGAGGTTAGTGACCTTTAATTGTAGGTCAGGTACCAATTTGAAAACAGGTCTCAAAATGCAACCTTAAAGTCGAGAACAGAGGTTCCTTACCTCTTTGCTCTTCCATTCCATTTCAGCCCATGATAATCTTTTCTACCACACTTTAAGTTCGCTACAGACTTTCTCTTGATACTTAAAAATAGGGATTTAATATTTTTTAACCTCATGGCCAACAATTAGATGTCATGATAACAAAAGAGTCTTTCTTGCTGTTACCAGAATTGTAAAAATTCTGTCACACTAAAATCAACCCTTCTTAGGGTTTAATTCCATTTGGAGCTAAAAGTCAGTGACAATTTTTTTATATATACTCTTAACACCTATAAGCTATATTAAAGATTTTGCATAGAATGTTGAGGATGTGTTAAAGGTTTAGAGGAAGACTCTTTATTTTCATATGTGCTTCTTATGTTCTTAAGAAAGAGAATGCAAATCATTCTGTACTTAGAGACAGATGCTCTGAGAAATTAAAAAAAATTAAAACACTGCATAAAGATGTGACATTTCAAAAAGTTTTTTCTCTTCCTCTTGTTTCTATGTAGAACTAGTAAAATACCATTTAAGAGTGTATTTAGAACAGTGACAACTTAGATAGGAAGGATTGACATAAAATTGTAGAAATTTGTCTTTAAAAATGTGGCATATTAAATTGTTTCTCAAGGGCTGGTCTCTGGTGGCACCTAATTTCACATTCCTGCAGACACAAAAAAGCATATCTGCATAATTAAGCTGTGTTGAAAACATACAGGGAAATGGGTGAGGAGAGTATTTTCGTTAACTCTTAAAAGTCTACTTCTATTGCTAGAAATCCAGTCCTTTTGTGAAATGGAATGGGATTTTTAGCTCAGAAAGTTGCATGTCCACATCGTCCTTTAATGCGTAAGTGTTAGAAGTTACACTTAGAGGTTTTCTAGACTACTGCCACAGTTCCTGTGGTGGTACTCTTTTCCAGTCAAGGAAATATCATGGTCTTTCTGACTCGCTAATATTGTTTCACTTGCTTGAACAACAAGGCCTTTGCCTTACAGTTACCAGGGCATTGTGGTGAGAGCATCATAATAGTTAGGTATCTGTCTTTTAGGCTAACATTTCCATGAGACTTCATAATGCATAATTTACTATGCTGTATATTATATCTTTTAGCACTCAAGTAAAGCTGATTTATATGATACATTTTAGACTCACAGGGGAAATTTTCATAAAAACAAAAGTAAGACCTGCCAACTGTTTAACCAGAATTATTTTTGAACAGCAGGAGCCCAGAACACAGCTTGTCAAATGAAAAGTTCTATTCCAATTAGATCTCCAATTAATGTGCACCCTGTTGTCTTCTAGAGATTGCTCCTGCCTGGACTGATGATGATTCTGGACCTCAAGGAAAGAAGATTTCCCTAAATCCTTCTGTTCGCCTGAAGGCAGAGAAACTGGAAATGGTAAATCTCTTAAAATTTCATTTTCTTCACAAGACAGCAGGAAAGAGCTGTGTTGTGGAACCATTGGTTTCTTGAAGTAGCTTATTTAATTAAGTGAGTGACAGTTTGGGTTTCCATTATTTAATAACATTTCAATTTGGAAGTTCATACTAGTTCACTAGTGTGAAATACAAATAAAACCTTTGGTTACTAAACTGACGTTCAAATTAGTTTCTTTCTCTTTGGCTAGGGTAATGGCTCAGTGGGTAAAGAGCTTGCCATGTAAGCATGAGAAGCTGAGTTCAGTTCTCCAGAACTCACATTTTAAAAAGCCAGGCTTGTGGAGAAGTGCAGATAAGCAGATCTCTGAAGTCCACTGGCCGGTTAGTTGTACTGGTTGGCTTTTGTGGTGACTTGACACAAGCTGAAGTCATCTGGGAAGAAGGACTCTCAGTTGAAAACAAAACAAAACACAATTGTCTTCCTCAGGTTGGTTTGTAGGCAAGTTTGAAGGGCACTTTCTTGATTAATGATTGATGTGGGAGGGTCCAGGCTACAGTGGGTAGGTACTGCTAACCCTCGGCAGTTGGTCCTGGGTTCTATAAGAAAGCAGACTGAGCAAGCCATGGACAGCAAGCCAGTAAGCAGAACCCCTCCATGGTCTCTGCTTCAGTTCCTGATTCCAGGTTCCTGCCTGGAGTTCCTGTTCTGACTTCCCTCCATGATAGCATTTGACTTGAGGGCTGTAAGCTGAAATAAAGTCTTTCTTCTCAGAGTTGCTTTTGGTCATGGTGTTCCATAGAAATAGAACCCCTGACTAAGATACCAGCTTAGTCTATTTGGCAAGCTCCAAGCCAGTGAGATACCTGTCTGAAAAAACCAGGTGGAAGGTGACTGAGGAGTAACAGCCAATAATGTCCTTTGATGTCCATGCAGAGATGTGTACCCCCATATATATATATCTTACAAACTATAATCAAAATTATGAAAAAGTTTAGTAGCTTTCATATTTGGTAGCAGTAAGTGCAATGAATTAAGGCAGCATTGTTCATTGTTTTAAAAAATGAAGGATTACTAAATTATAAAGAAGAAAGTAGTCAGGTCCACATGAAATTTAAAGCTGATGGCAGTGCACTAGGAACTAACAAGAAGAGTAAAGCACTGAGCGCATCATGTACGAGAAACAGAAGACGATTAAAACAATGAAACTAAAGGTGAAAAGCACTTGAAAGTGGAGGAAGCTCCTGAGGAGCTGAGAAGAAAACTCTACCACATCTGGATACAGTGCTAGGACTCGACACCCCGTCTTCCTGTGAGATTTATAGATACTGACTTTCATGTTTGTAGAAGAATATGAAACTGCGTAGCTAGAATAAACACATTATAATTAGAATAAACATCATAATTATTCTCATCTCTACCTTTGCTCCAAGTTCCAAGTAGTACCCTTCTCATCACCAATTTAAATCTTCCTGTTGTTTAAATGATGGTCAAATCTACCTCTTTTCCCAGAATTTCTATGATTACTTGGGCAAATACTGCCATATTTACCTTTTTGTAGCACCGACTGTCATACTGTACTGCCTTGCAATCTCTTTTTGTCTTCTGTTTTATCAGTGAAATTGAATATTTCTTCACCTATAGTTCCTACCTGTTAAGCCCTCACTTTTTGCCATCTAGACGAGAACATGGACCTTTTCTCACCTGTTACTCATTTCCAGGCATAAGTACCCTAACGAAAGACAGTTCAACAAGAGGAAACTATGGGTTTTACTTCTCACAGAAGCCTTCAGAAATGAAAACCCAAATAATCCCAGAAGTCTGTATACATTTATGATTAGTTTAGAGCAAAGAGTGGCCAGTGTTGTAGGATGACTAGGCAATGGGAATGTGATACGACCTAATAGTAATAATAGGGGGAACTTTGAAAAGCTCGTTCAGTTAACAGTGTACTGTTAGAACAATTTCCAAAAGCATACAATAGATGCAAAATACACAGTATGGTAAGCTGTGATAAATTTTTAGATACAGATAACTTTTTTTTTTTGCTAACTAATTTTTTTTATTTTGCAATACAATTCAGTTCTACATATCAGTCACGGATTCCCTTGTTCTCCCCCCTCCCGCCCCCCTCAACAATTCTCGCTCATAAACCCTCCTCTTTAAGGAATAGGAGACCATGGTAAATGAAGACCACATGAGAATAGGAAGAAGCAAAGTGCTAGAGAGGTCCCCAGAAATCCACAAAGACACCCCCACAACAGACTGCTGGCAATGGTCGAGAGACAGCCCAAACTGACCTACTCTGGTGATGGGATGGCCAAACACCCTAATTGTCATGCTAGAAACCCCATCCAACGACTGAGGGATCTGGATGCAGAGATCCATGGCTAGGCCCCGGGTGGAGCTCTGGGAGTCCAATTAGCGAGAAAGAGGAGGGTTTATATGAGCGAGAATTGTTGAGACCAAGGTTGGATACAGATAACTTTTAAACATTGTATAGAGTAAAACTTAATTTGTAAAAAAATATATAATAGTTGTAAGTTTATACACATGCACCATATTCAGAGGAAAAAAAATCTGGAAAACCACACAAATTAGTAATAGTGATTGTTCCCGGAGCAGTGGTTCTCAACATCAGGAGTATAATCATCTTCCTCAGAGGACATTTAGCAATATCTACTGTTTTGGTTGTCAGTAGTGAAGACCAAATCCAGATTCCCAACCAGGACTAAAACTTACATCCTAAAACTCTATGTCCTAAAATTTAAATAATATTTCTAACCACTTATGAGTCAATTGTTGCTAGCAAACATACAAAATGTGTCTCATTTTCTTGTAACTAGAGGAATTCAAACTAACATATTTCTGATATCATGACAAAGTGAAGATGTGAAAACAACAAATTCTGTTAAGAATGTAAGAAGGTAAGATTGTTTTTATATTGCTGGCATATTTAATGAGTACCCATAGTCGAAGAACAATAGAGCATTAGTAAAGCTGAGCCTGTGATTCAGCACCTCCTCTTACACGCATGTACGGTAGAAAAATTTACATGCATCTATAAAAGAGGACATGTGTTGGGCCCCATAAGGCCCAGGCATGAGGCCCAGTGTAACTTCCTGAGCCTAGCTTGAGTTTGATGACCTGTCCTGGGACATGACTTCCGCATACAAGTGACTCAGCACTACCCGGCCTAGAATCGCCTCTGTCTAATAACTGCTGAGATGGCATCATCTCATTGGCCCGCTATCCTTACCCCATCCCCCCCATCACCCCAACCTATATAAGTTCACTCCTGATGCAATAAAGCGAGTTCCTGCTTTGAAAAGACTCCTGGCCCAGTGTGCTTCTCTTCCGTGGAATGGAGGGTCTGGGCCGTCCGACACTCACCATCCCGCTCATCCCCAGGGAGAGAACTGCTGGACCGGTCCTGCCTCTGCCCTACCTGTCGGTCAGACCAACAGACATATATAGTGTTTTGTACTAAAAATGGTGAAGTGATTATAAATGCCTGTCAATCAGAGAATGGATAATAAATTGTAATATATCCATTCAATGAAATACCACAAAATAAGTGAACTATGTAGGTAGGCAATATTGAAGAGTTGCAAAATCATTAAGTTAAGATAAAATAAAAAAATTGTAGTTATCCTTTTAGGTTACATTGTTTGAGTAAAATTTTAAATGCACAAATTAAAGTAGACATTATTTAGAGGACATATACTTACATACTAAATAATAGTAAAGAATGGACAAGAAGAATGTAATGACCTTAGGCTAGCATTTATTCTGAAGATCCATAGAGGAAGCTTTCAGCTCAATCTATAGCCTTATTTCTTGAAAATATGTGTAGATTTTAAACAAATATCATTAAATATTTTAAGATAGCCAAGTACGTAGGTGTTCTTTGTATTCTTTTAAAAAATATTTGTAACTTTTTTCAAGATGAAAAGAATACACAAATGCTAAAAAGTCTTTCTTGAATGTATGTAAACAGTGCTTCTGGCTTTGATAGGGTAGATGGATGGTTCTAAACCAACCTTAAAAACACTTTAAGAATCTTTCCTTGTCCTCGACCTTCTTTCTGTTTCCTCCACTGTGCCCAGTCAAATTGTGTGCCTCTATGTAAATGCTTTTAGTGATAGTGTGTCCTCTGTGCACTTGTGTTAAGTAAAACATTGTACCTACTAAAATTGTTTGTACATTATTCTCACCCTAAAGACCATATACTTTTTAAGGATAGAGACTGTATGTTATTTGTCAGTATCATTGTGCAGTTATGTGCCTGACAAATAGTAAGTACCAAATAAGTATTTGGTTCAAGAATTGGTGACTATTTGAACATATTCCAAATGGAGAAGATATCTGTTAATATCTTCTCCTTTAATAAATTTTGTTTAGCTTTAATGTGACTAACATTCTATGCACTCTTGCTAGAATCCAATGGTAGGGCATCCAGACAGTTCTTATACATTAAAATTAGTTTGGAATATATATAACTAGAGAATCGAGCTAGCATTGGAAACTTAATGTTCTTACCATAAAGAAGTCCAGAAGAAAATAACCAGGGAGAAGCCAAGAGGCTCCAAGTGTCAGGGACCCACATTCCAGCCTTTCAGATAGACCACCTATTCCATCATTGTTGAGGTTCCTGGTAGACCGCCTATTCCACCATCATTGCTGAGGTTCCTTGTGAGTCAAGATGCCTGATCACTTCTCTTTCCCTTCTCCCTTTTCCTGAAGGCGAAGGGGAGAACCGCTTTCTCTACTTTTGTTAGGCGACTTCCTGCATGCTCTCCAGCACTTCGCTGCTGTCTAGCACATACATAGCCCAGGACCTCATCAAAGGGCAAAGTGGGCTGCAAATGTCTTTTAGCCGGAAATTATGGATGGTTCTATTTAAGGCTAAAGATCATGGAAAAGACAGTAGAGTACAAGTAGGAGTATCTACACATTTTATTTTAAAGACAGAAGTTACTTTACCGAAGGAGAAGAGCCTGATGGAGAAATGGGTGTCAGAGAAAACTTTTCTTTTTGTTTGTGTTATATGTAACCCTAAACTAGTCAAAATTAAGAATATTTTCCATTTAACACAATTCTATCAACTTCATTTCTATCCTCAAGATAACAGCTGAATGTTTTTCATGTTTTTTGAGTGTTATCTATAAACTTGACTTCAGTAAAATTTTTCTGTTATATTTCTTCTGCAAAAATCACATAGACTAGAAAATAATTTTATTTTTGGTCCTACAGCTGTGTTTGTAAATATGGCATTAGCCAAGATATTTGCTGTGGGGGTGAGGCATGGCAGACTCGGAAAGGTAATCGTTTATAGGTAGTTAATCTACAGTCAGCAGACTTTCCGTGGGATCTAATTCTGGTCACGGTTCCCCCTGGTGATTTGTAAAATATAGTTCTAGTGAAATGTTTTACCCTTTAGAGGTTTGAAAATTGCTTCTCATAAGACCATTTCCTTTCAGGCTCTCAATTACCTCGGTATTCAGCCAACAAAGGAACAACATGAAGCCCTGAGACAGCAGGTCCAGGCTGACTCAAAGGGGACTGTGTCTTTTGGAGGTAATGTCTTAAGTGCATCGTGTTGTATTATCACAGACAGTTGGTGAAAGTTATTGTGACCCATTTTCATTAAGAGAGCTTGTTCCTCAGAGGGAGAATGAAAACTCACACCATGCTACTACAAATTCCTTAACAGGTACTTTAAAAACAGCTATTGATACTAACCTGGCTGGATCAGCAAAAGAGAGACCTGTATCAGGACCCATTAGCTCTAAATATCATTAGTTGATCACGTTCTTTTTGCATGTTTTATTTACTGCATAAACATTGCTTTAATAATAACAAAAGAAATTAGTACAAAATATACAAATTTTAATTTCACTACTAATTACATCTACTTCCTTTCCTTTCAGCTAGTGGAATAGGAAGTTTTTATTGTACTGAGTAATTATTCTTAGAGATGGCATAATGCTCCAAGGTTTTATACACTTGGCATATTGATGGTTTCTCAGTAGCTGTTATTACAAATCTATATTTATTGCAGCTTTTATAAATCTACATTTATACTTTCAAATGTAGCAATTTCTTCTCTTTTTTTAATAGGATAACCTCCACAATGGTTTGGAATTTCAATATCTATCACTAAGTTATTTTCCAAAAACTGTTTCCTATTTGTCTATTCTACTATTTGAATGTAATGGTTACCTTCTAACATTTGTTCTAAAATACACATAATAAATGCTACATTGTATCTTTTTTTTTTTTTTTTTTTTTTTTTGGTTTTTCGAGACAGGGTTTCTCTGTGTAGCTTTGCGCCTTTCCTGGGACTCACTTGGTAGCCCAGGCTGGCCTCGAACTCACAGAGATCCACCTGGCTCTGCCTCCCGAGTGCTGGGATTAAAGGCGTGCGCCACCACCGCCCGGCTACATTGTATCATTTTAAAATATCTCTATTGAAATAAAGAAATTCACTTTTTATATATGAAATGAGGAAAAATATATTTGGGGTCCCATCTTCTCTTGAAAATCACCCCCCAAATAATAGTAATAGGAAATAGAAATATACATACCACCACAACAACAACGAAATCACAACTTGTGAGGACAGAAGAGGGGTGCAGAGAAAGCAGTCCCTACATTAGTGTGCAGAGGCCGGTGCAGCCCAGGCATCTGAAGATGGAGGACTACACCCAGGGCAAGCTAGCATGGAGTACCAGCATGACTCTAGGCTGGTTTCGGCTGCACATTGAAATCAGAGTTCTTAGAAATGCTGATATGGACTTTTATCCATGCTGCCTTTTCATTTTCTCAAGCAGTGTAGCACCTATTACTTCCTTAAACTGTAGCACGAATCTCTAAAGGTCTTATTAATAAAATCAAACCCAGAGCCAGGTATTGGGGTGAATGCTGAATGATCAGAGAAACAGAACAAGCCACAGATACCTCACCTTGCCAATTCCTCAGCTGATCCTGTTTCCTCAGACTGGAAGCCTTTGAGTCCTCGTCTGAATGGGTTTCAGCTGAACTGCTGCTAAAAGCCTGACCAGCCTAGTTCCTGGTCCTCACGCCTTATATACCTTTCTGCTTCCTGCCATCACTTCCTGGGATTAAAGGCCTGAGTCACCATGCCTGGCTGTTTCCAGTGTGGCTTTGAACTCTCAGAGATACGGATGGATCTCTGCCTTCAGAATGCTAGGATTAAAGCTGTGTGTGCCACCATTTTCTGGCCTCTCTATCTATCAGCTGTTCTGTTCTCTGACCCCAGATAAATTTATTAGGATGCACAATATTTTGGGTAACACAATATCACCACATTAAACTTCCTGGGAGAAGGTACATAGTTCATTGATAAATTAAACCAGAGACATTGTGAAACTATATTTGTTAGCAGCAAGGGAATTGGGGGTTGTCTGTGGTTAGTCATTGTTCAAAACATGTACCCAGATGCTCAATGACATTTGCATCCATGTTTATAATCATAGCAGGGGATTTAAGGCGTATCTCTGAGGAATCTAAACAAAAATGCCAGCAGACCACCAGATTGTTTTCCTATAGTAAAATAATCCTTCCAGTTGACAAGGCAAGTTATGCACACGTAATTTCCAGCCAACTTTTTTAGTGCCTTATTAATTGTTAAATAAAAACTCAAAATCAAGAGTTTGTGGACAGTTGATAAAATGACATAAAATTGGAGCCCAAAAGATCAGATAAACAGAAAAAAAAAAGAAAAAAAATGGTGAGAGCAGAAGATAACTTTAGATAAACTAATTAATACCCTTAGGAAAACAAAAAAAGATGATGCACCCATGAAGTATAAGCAGAAATGTGTAAAGTCAGAACAGAGAACATTTATAAGGATCCTTTGAATTACAGTGTAATAGCTACAGTTAAAACTTACTGAGGATACATAGGTGAGTAAACATCACAGTTATGGACTGCTCTGATGTTCAGCTTGACAAGTGGCCTTGATAACTTGAGCAAATTCGGGCTGAGACAGGCTTTCTTCATCTGTACAGTAGAAGGAGGACCTGCCTCAAAGGAGTTGAAGAATGGTGTGAGGATGATCCCTAAGCACATACAGCTGTTACATAAACTGGCTGTTGCTGTTATGAAGCCTTAGATTCTTTAACCCTGAAAAGCCATGTCATAATATTGCCTTTTCTCCCCAGAAAGCATTGTGTGCATAATGTGAGAATTAGAGAATTAGATGTCTATGATACGTGTTTGCTTTATTGTTTCTTAACTGAATTATGTGACAAAGCTAACGGAAGTGTGATAAAAAATGGCTTCTCTATTATTTAAATTTATATTTACCTGTCACTTTGGTCAATACTATTTTAGGATAATTTGTGTAGGTTAATCTGAAGTTCATAATGTTAACTTCCCAGAGAAGAAAGTAATATTTGTTTAAATGAAAACGAATGCTATTTTCTTATCAAAATGTGTTAATTTTAGATTTCGTCCAGGTTGCCAGAAATTTGTTTTGTTTGCAGTTGGATGAAGTAAATGTTGGTGTCCATGAAATCTCCAGCATCTTGGACTCACAGGTAGAGTGTGCTCTCTATGTTTTATATTTTAATCGAACATGGGGCACAAGTCTTGAATGTTGTGGGTCGTATGTGATGCCCTTTCTCCAGTTTCCACTGGTTTTTAATTTCTTAAATTATTTAGTTGTTACTTATGTGGATGTATAGAACGGAGCTTGGGTCTCTAGTACTTACATAGAAGTAGACTTGAGCACCCCTAATCACAGCCCTCAGTAGGCAGACAGGATCTCTAGGACCTTGCTGGCCAATTGAGCTGAGTTGATGAATGCCAGGTTTGATGAGAGACCTGATCTCAAAAACAATGGTGGAGAACAGTTTGGAAATATACTTGATGTCAGTCTCTTACTCCATGTGCACACACATGCATGTGTGCATATATGTGTACACAGGTTCACAAAATATACACACAAGAATTCTAAGAACAGTACACATTCTTTGAAGAAATATGTAAAACTATAGGTTAATCAGAAGTTTTTTCTGTCTCCTCTTTTCTCAGACCCCTGTACTATGTTCCACCCCTCAGTTCCGCAGCATTGACAGCCTGCCGTGTGAAAAGGCATAGCATTATCATTAGCTCGCAACACAGAGTCATGTGTGTGCCCATTCTAATCTGTCTGGAATCATCATCATATATGCACAGAAAAGTGCCTATAAGTGCGTAGCCTGTTATGTGTTACAATCTGAACCATTCCCATGAGACATAATGTTAAGGACATACATTACTAAACCCACAGCTACTCTCCTCCACGTGTGTTCGCTTTCAGTTACTTGTGACAATCCCCTGCTCAGAAGTCAGGGCAACCACACTTGGGCTTTCTAAAATAAAATAGTTTTGCCAGCTTTTATGTCTTAGTAAGATAGAATTATGAAGCTTATTCACTTTACTCAACAGAACTTTGAAATTTACCTCGTCAAATCTTTTAGTCCTTTCTGTTGTGGATTGTTGGTATTTATTGTTTAAGGGAAACATTCAGCCCAAATATATCCTATATGTAGTTTACATATCACATTAACCCAGAATGTGTTCTTGTTTGTGGATGTGTAACTTCTTGTCCTTATTCCACTATAGCTTAGCAACCCATCCTTCCCTGATTTTCCTGTTGACTTGAAATGCAAACTTAAAGATATAGTAAATAACTATGTATGTAGATGTGTTCTTTGTCCCACTCTGTTCTATTCATTTACTTCTCTCCTAGTACATTATTTTTTAGTTACTTAATACTGGGTTCATATTAGTGAGCTAAGAATGTTGTTATTAGCTTCTTACTTTTGATCTGAAAATGATGTTTTAAATTATTTTGCCATGATATCAAATAAGTGTGGTACTTACTTTATATCTTAGCATTGAATTTATAGAATGATTTGGTTTGGTTATTAACTGAGTATAACTTACTTTCCCTTATTTATATCTTTGTTCTTGTTTTGAATGGCAAAGAATATGACATGTTTCATATGCATCTCAAATATTTCTATCAGATTAATTGCCAAATATAGTATACTTTGTGATATTATTATAAAAAGAATTTTTATTTTTCATCACTAGTTTTAATTTTACATGTCATGAGAATATACTGTTAGATGTGTACATTAGATGTGTACAAATATTGAGTGTCTGCCTCTTTACAATACTTTCTTGTGTTTTCCTAACCTAACTCAATCGTATATTATCCTCCTGTTTTTTGGTTTCCGGTAATAACACTTTGCAATACATCAAATAGAATCCAAACACATTAGTTTTTAATACCTATAATTGTTCTTTTAAGTTTATACATCACTACTTTATACTCAGAAATTGGTCCATTTTGTCTGTTAGCTCTTCCATTCTCTACTCTTTACACCTTGACTGATATCCTGGTAATAACTTTATATTTAGAAGTCTTAAATTTTCTATTTTAGTTAAAGTTTATAAATAAGAAAATTCCCTTGTCTTTTCCTCTGAAAATGTGCACACCAACCCACTTTTCATAATTATATTTAGAGCTCTAATTGTAGTAGTGCATTTTTTTGTTACTGTAATGAACTGCCTAAAGCCGGTTAGGTTAAGAGGTTTCTTTAGCTGCCAGCTCTACCGTCACAGATCAAAGTCCAAGATTGGAGAGGGTCCGTGAAGGGACCTCTGGGGGAGGCCTATAGGCAGATGGTATCACAAACGAAGAAGCCCTCGTGAGAATAAGTGATCACATTTGAAAACCAAAAAGCAGTGACCTTTCACTAGGCTTCACCTCCTGAAAACCCTGCACCTCATCACTGCACCCTCAGGGCCATGTCTCCAAAACATGAATCCTTTAAGAGTGAACCACATTCAAACCTTAGTCTGATTGCTTTTAAATAATAGGTCTTTTGATAGGGAGCTTCAATACTGGTATTAGTTATGTTTCTAGAAATACAGAGTGTAGCTGCATGACTAATTTATTGGTAAAAATAAATCTGATCCTCTCATTTAAATATTACCCATGCCACATTTTTTTAACATTTCAAACCCCCTTTTTAATAAATAATTTAATTTACCACTGATCATTTTACTCATCACAGTCACCCCAAAACCTAGCTGCTCAGTTACTCTAAGGAGAGTCCCTGGCTTTCTCAGAATGAAGGCACAGACTTATTAGAAGGAATCCTGTGGCATTTAGCCAGAACTGAACTGCAGAGCCCTCTTTGCCTCTGCAGATATGGGTCTTGTGCACTTCGCTACGGAACATTCCAGGCAGATCTGTCTCTTACTGCTGCCAGGTTGGTGTACCCATTTCTTGAGCGAAGGCAGTGCTAGTTCATGATGTGCCAGTAATGTCGGGACCTGTATAAGCATGCCGAGCTTTTGGAGCAGCTGCAAAGCGATGCACATGCTCTGATGAGTAATTTGTTTCCTTCTTAGCACTAGGATTTTAGGGCAGATAAAGAGTGTCGTCAATCTGCAGTACTTTGAAAGCAAAAGCACCTTGCTGATGGCAGTTGTGCAAGATGCTCTGTGTGCCAGGATTTCCTGTTGAGGCTGTAGATCAAAATGCTGTGCAATAGTCATTATTAATTTATGAAATTCTATTTGTTGCCTTCTGCTTATCATCACACAGAAGGTATTATTGTCAAGTATAAGCTTTCCTTTTTTTCTCCAATTGAATCCATAATAAGAATACAGTTTCCATCACAGTAACATGTACAATGAAAGAAGTCTCTCAAAGCACACACTGAATTCTCATTTAATATTATTGAATTCTATTTCATTAAAAATTTCATCTTGCAATTCACGAGGGGATAAAATATCACAATTTTAAAAGCACTATAAAAGTCACTCTTGTTAAGTAGCTCACCAAAAACAAATAAAAACCAAGTTATTGTTTCATATTGTAAGTCCCACAAGTATTTGAGTTCAAGAACAGTGGAATGCCTACTCTGAAACAGTCTGTGGTAGATGATGTTGACAACCTGCGAAGGTGGGGAAATTCCACTATGGCTACCCCCAGCAGCCTTAGTTTCACAATAATAGGGTCAAGTTTATAATTATTTTACGTGGGATGCCTGTGTTCTCCTTTTGTGGCTGATAAAGATGGTTGATGCATTTCTTCCCTTTTTGTGTGAAAAACAGAGAGAGGCGTGTTAGTCAAAGGTGGCACATTAGGAAGGACACATAAAGGGGTCTAGTGATTCCCAGGTCCATCTTCAGGGTGTTGGAATGAGCTTTTGATTTAAATAGAGCAAGAATTGAATCGTGGCCAGGAGGTATAAATAATTAAGTAGTCCTTAATCTGTGCCTGAGCTGTAGCACTACATGGTGGTCCTTATACGTCATCGACCTGGGAGACTGGTTGCTATAAGAGAATCTGCACCAGAGAACAGGCTCTGTATTTCAGATAGTTGTTGTCATCCTGGGATGGTGTGTCTTGTACGTTCATTGTTGCTTGGGAGTAGATCTAGTCCGTTGTCCCTGGGCTGTAAGGCATTTTAAGAGGAAAGGTTAAGGCAGTGACTTGTCTCTGTACCTTCAGCCTTGAAGGAAGATAAACTAGTTTAAGTAGGCAAAGTCAAAAAGGCATCTGAGCCAAAGTAGTAGATGCAGAATGAAATGGAATAGAGAATGAAAGACACATACACGCTTAAGCCTAAAAGTGGGAATATTACCAAGGGATATATAGTCCTCTTTTCAGGTTCTTAGTCTCATAGCTAAAAGAATTTTAAAATGGACACAGAAACTAAGCTCAAGGTCAATCTCACTGGCCTCTGAGAGGGAAAACACAGGGCAAGTGTATTGCTGGAAGTATTAAGGCAACTCCACGTAGTTAAAAGGGAAGTTTATTTTGTGGGGTAACTTACAAGTGAAGGGATAGGTTACGGGGTCCGGGAGAGGTGAAGTGCAGTCCAGTGGTGTTCTCTGGATCTCAGGTCTTAAGGGCTCCTGTCTTGGCCCTGCCTCATAGGTGTGACAGTTACCAGAAGCCTCAATGGGGGTAGTACTTCCAGGTCAAAGCTGGAACAGCTACCCACTACACAAGTGAGTTGCAGGTCTCAGCTGCCATAGGGAGAGAGATGGGTAATAGAAGGCCAAAATGCCTTGACCTTCCACTAAGCTTCACCTCCTAAAGGAGTCAGGGGTCACAGAATTAGGGTGTGGGGGAGCCTTATGAGAGAATGAAAATGCCCTGAGTATCACGACAATGAGGCTTGGGATTCTGGCCGGTATCTAGAGAAGGGAGCAAAAGAAAAAGTTATTGCTCTGTGAGTCAGAACTCAGAAGGTGAACAAGCATGGCAGTGAGGATCTGCAGGCAGCTGGATGAAGAGGAGTTCATGTGGTATGTGAGTATTTATCTCATTAAGAGGATGCTAGTCCTCCCATTTCTGCCATGCCTCTAAGTGTATGTTTCTGACATCAGGGTACCCATCTTGAGATTGTAAAACAAGGTTTTTTCCCTTATACAGAAGGTCTGCTGGCCTTGACTGGGCAAGGGCTTTTGCTGTTCACATCAAAGGGTATTGTCAACTTCTGATCAAACTATTTATATGTTTATA